TGGTCGAGATATCAGATGTGTATTACACATTAATCATTAGAACGTCTGGTGTTAAACTATAATGGCGGTAAAGATATTACATGTATATTATACATCAATCTGGTGTTTAACTATAATGGCGGCCAATATATTAAATATACATTAATTATTAGAACGGTTTGTGTTAAACTATAATGGCGGTAAAGATATTACATGTATATTATACGGTTATCATTAGAACGTCTGGTTTTAAACTAAATGGCGGTCGAGATATTAGATGTATAGTGTGGACCAATCAATTAGAGCGACTGATTACGTAACCTCAGTTGAGTTAATCATTAGAAAGTCTGGTATGGATAAGCCGTCTAGAGCTAATCATTGAATTAATCCAGGTTTGAATATTGAGGAGAAATATGTTCACCAATCCTTAATCATTCTAATACCAGCTATTAAAGACGGGAGGACGATAGAATATGGCGTTGCGTAGATCAATGCGGGTATTGATTGCTCCATAATGTGGGTTTTATAAAATAATTTACTCTTTTATACGATATTCAGACTTGCAGACGGTGTGATTGTAAGTATAACATATATTTAAGTATTCTAATTTACATAAAGATATATATTTATCTGCGATATTCGTGACTAAAAACTTGTCTACGATATCACCTTAGGTGGAAGTGGACGTAAAACCCCAGAAACGAACGAACGAATCGTGACTAATAAAAGCGGGGGTCTGCACAATCTAAATAATTTAGCGCGTGTTAACAATCAAAAGTTCAACAGATATAAAAATAAGACGCGTGTCGATTTGTTAGATTGTCTACGATATCACCTTAGGTGGAAGTGGACGTAAAACCCCAGAAACGAACGATTTGTTAGCTTGTCTGCGATATCACCTCGGTGGAAGCGGACGTAAAATACAACTAACTAACAACAACAACGATTTGTTAGTATCTTTCTCGGCCTGCTTCTGAATTAAACAAATTAACACGGTACCGCAGAAAAGAACAGGAAAAGAACAATAATAAAAATATAAGAGGAATCAGTAATTACTCAACTACAGAACTTTCAATATACATGGTACGTAATGACATAGTTCTGTCAAATATAATTATTTACAAAATATTTAGAGAGGGGTGCAAAGGGATACATCATTTTATGTTTCATTACATTCGAACATTTTGAAATCGTTAAGCAACAATAAAATTTGTCATTGTTAATTTTATTTATCTATTTAGATGAATTCAAAGATGTTGGGTTGGATCAAAAACCGATGTCGAAGACGATCAGATCCGGCTGGTGGCAGGGAGAAATGTGATGAAGAGATAACGCAAGTGAAACCTAGAGTATCTGATTGTTCAGTTTATTTTACACCTGATGTTACCTGTCCTAGTAGTAACAACTATGACAAGAATATTGATGATCACATCTACGAAGAAATTGATGTCAACGAAACTTTCGCATCATATGATATAATTAGAGAAATAACGAATCTGACAAAAAGAATGGAGGACGAATTCGGTTGCAAGGAAAATGTTTGTCCTCTTTCTAGAAGTAAAATTGAACAATTCTGTGCTTGTGTTGACTTTGAGTCTTATGACAAAGCTACTGCAATAACTGAACCGCCAATTTATGAACTCGCACAAAATCCCTACTGTCAAAGAGAACGAAGAAGTTCACATGGTTATCACCGACCACCACCGAATCTCCCTCTTGGATCTCCGGTAAAACCAGAAACAATGTCAGGAGATGATAGTAGTGGGTTCTATGAAAGTATTGGTTCGGAATATGATGGTAGCAGTGATAATCAAGACTACTGGTATAACGAAAACGGTCTTAATGTTCAGGAAAATGGTTTCCTGACTGTAAATGATGATGAAAATGATTACGAGGAAATTGACATTAAACATACAATAACACAACGTAGACACAGTTTGAGTTCATATCCTGTGTTCAAATCACCACGAACATTATTGCATAATACAGTTAAAGGGAAGGAACCCTGTTTGTCAACTACAACCCGAAGGGGAGCTTCTATTAAACGACTGAAAAAGACGAGTCGGCTATCAGTACTAAAATTAAGAAGACTATCTTCAAAATTAGCAGTTTAGAAAGATTTCTTTAAAAATAAAATACAAATGTTCGATGAGTGCTAAATTATGCTGTTTTTAATGCGAATATTAAAAATTTATCTATTTACAAATTAATAAAGTATACTATTCAAAAAAAGTAGGGGATATTTGATTTTTAAGTGTTATTAAAGTCACCTAATGAAACTGACGAAGAAACAAATGACAAAATGAAATGAAGTTCACATTCATCGATTTATTCCAAATGATCGTTAGACTAAGTAAGGCACAGACTGACCATTATAAGGGTAAAATGATACCCGGGGTCAAACAGCAAAGTTACCACAGCATCACAACCAAGTCAGTAACGGGTAAATCCTCCTCTGTTTGCCAAACAAGCATTGATCCGACGTGGCATACTCCTAATGAGATGTCTAAGGTCATTTTGGTCCAGATTGTCCCATTCCTGTTGCAACGCAGCAGCAAGTTCTTGGACATTGGCAGGACGTTGTTGACGTTGACGTAACCTCTGTCCAAGCATGTCCCAGACATGCTCGATGGGGGAGAGGTCGGGACTCAGTGCTGGCCAAGGTAATGTGGTGATGTTCTGTTGTTGGAGGTAACCTGTAACGATCCTGGCCCTGTGACATCTTGCGTTGTCATCCTGGAAGATGAAACGGCGGCCATGACGTCGTGCGAACGGCACAACATGGACTGCCAAGATGTTGTCCCGATAGTACTGGCCTGTAACACGCCCTGCAACAACATGTAAAGCCGTTCTTCCAGCAACAGTGACGCCTCCCCACACCATAACAGAACCACCCCCAAATCGATCATGTCTGATGACGTTAACGTCTTGGAAGCGCTCGTTTCGACGACGCCACACCCTCCTACGTCTGTCCAAAAAATCAACAGTGAACCTTGACTCATCTGAAAACATCACATTGCTCCAGCGTCGATTATCCCAGTGTTGACGATCCCTACACCAACGACGTCTTGCCTGAATGTGATGATCTCTCAAACAAGGGATCTCGCGAGGACGTCGGGCGCGAAGGTGACCCCTATGCGGTCGATTCCGAATCGTCTGGCCACTTACTCTCACACCAGTGTCTGTTTGAAGACGAGCGCTGATCTGATTTGCTGTGATGACACGATTTCTCAAGGCCAAGGTACGGATAAATCGATCCTGGGCTTGAGTTGTCGCCCTTGGTCGACCTGAGCGTGTTCTGTCCTGTACAGATTGTGTATCACGGTATCTGGACCATAGCCTGCTTATGACAGACTGAGAAACATTCATCGTCCGCGCCACAACCGCCTGTGTTGTGCCGATCTGTAGCATGCCAAGGGCACGTAACCTTTCATTTTGGGTAAGCCGACGCATATCAAAATTTGTTTTCTGGTCACTAAAACAATTAAACTGATGTTTCCACCCTGGAATTCAATGCCACAATGACTGTAACATTCAAAGTCAGAGTCGTGCAAATCTTGGGTTGGACCCCCATGATGATCCCAAGCATCACCTGCATTCCATGCGTAGCTATTGGTGCGTTTGGGCGTCACATGTAACTGGAAATGTTTCTTCTGTTAGGTTCTATAGTGACTTTTTTCGTAGTCATTTGCATATTTTAGTATTATGCCCCCAAAATCAAATATCCCCTACTTTTTTTGAATAGTATAGCTTAAATACTTATTATAGTTGCTGGATATCGATCGTAATTTTTGACCAACGGCAATAGTGCTGTTCACACCAACCACCATCCAAACATAACTAATTTACGACCGTGCTCTAGCATATTTAGATTGGTAATTTAGGTTAAAATATGAAAAAGACGAGTCGGCTATCAGTACTAACATTAAGAAGACTATCTTCAAAATTAGCAGTTTAGAAAGATTTCTTTAAAAATAAAATACAAATGTTCGATGAGTGCTAAATTATGCTGTTTTTAATGCGAATATTAAAAATTTATCTATTTACAAATTAATAAAGTAACTTAAATACTTATTATAGTTGCTGGATATCGATCGTAATTTTTGACCAACGGCAATAGTGCTGTTCACACCAACCACCATCCACACATAACTAATTTACGACCGTGCCCTAGCATATTTAGATTGGTAATTTAGGTTAAAATATGCTGTGTATTGTATCGTATGCTTGTTACTGGCCACAAGCACTTGGTTCTTCCATGGCGAATCTTGAACTGATCACTAGCATATATCGAATGCTTTTAACTCTCATTTTGAAAACATTCCTTCGTTTGCTACAGTTTGCCTTTACGAACAAAGCCGCGCTATGCGAAACATCAATTTACGTAGCCAAACATTTCGAAATGAACACTCTGTCGAAAAGCTGACAGCAATAGCCAATATTAAATATTCCTTCATATTTGATCAGGCACTGATATCCATTGTTTGGGTGGGGTGGGTTAGATGTAATTTTCTAGATTCGCTATTTAGCCAAGTTGGTTTTGCTTACAGTTTCGGTGGGGGGGGGGGCACGTTGGCTAAGTGGGTAAGACGCTAGCTCGCTAGCCCGGAGGTCGGGTGTTCGGTCCATGCATTGGCTGAGAATGTTCATCCTGCAGATACTCCGGCGTGGTTCCCCCTTGTCAGTGATGCAGGGCGAAGGGACTGACAAGAACAGTTGTCTAGTCGTTCGGTTGGGACGGAAAACCGAGGTCCCGTGTACACATTGGCGTGCACGTAAAAGATCCCTTGACAGTTGTAATTCGATATAAGAGTAGGCCGTAGTGCCGCTGTCCGGGCAAAATTTCCCTCATAGAACACTGTATGGCGTATGCCCGTCTTCATTAGCCCGGTTTAGAGATAAATGGAGCACGAAACTAACTCTTGTCACAGCTCTTAATCGTCATTAAGGATATAAGCAAAATTTCAACGCAGAAGAAGTTTTAAAACACAAAACCTTTAAACATTATACATAATTTATTGTAAAAATATTATTGCATTCGACATACAAATGTAAGGATCTGTCCTTACAAAAATACATGATACATATATTATAAAATAAATACATTTTTGTATTGTGGAATCATAAAAGAATTGTAATAAGCAACAACACAACAACGATATTGGACGTTAAAATTGTAATAAACAACAACACAACAGCAATTGGACGTTATAAAATTGTAATTAACCACAACAAACAACGATTTTGTCCTAAAAAATGCAGATGATTAAACAGTATGAATTCTATTATTTCCCATTTTTGACTCCGTAAAAAGGAATAACTTCATTATACAATTTTAGCTCATACATTAACATGAAAGCTGCCAAGATAAAAAAATATATATTCACAGAAAAATGATTATTCATCATAGAAATATAGTCAGATGCAAAAATACAAATATGTTGATATGCTATGTATTATTCGTTATAATAAGCATCGTTATAAAGCATAGAGTTATAACAATGAGTGGTGTATTATAATGTATACGGAGAGAAAAGGGCGGACGTTTCATACCTAGAGACTCGAACAGAAAGGAAGTATTTTTTTCTAACAATATTTATTCAATCAATATTTACATATAAGACACAATATTTAATTATGAGATCTGAAAACAAGCTGGAGCTTATATAGATTCATTACCCGTAAGAAATTATTTGCAGAAATATAAATACACTGTTTATAATTGTAATCATGAATTACACACGGTTACAAATTATTAAAGCAAAAATATTTACTTTCACTTAAGCCAACATTATGTAAGAGCTAAATGTGTCTATTGCAGGTCTTTCTTTAGGCCTGAAATGTTATCTAAATTATTAATTAGACATTAATTAACCTATCCAGACCATAATCAACTCTAGATTGTATCGCTAACCTGCGATCTTTAGTGGATTGTATGACTGTCCTTTACGATTTAACGATTAAATGGATAATCGAGACTATTCTGTTTATCGTACTGACTTTAGTAATGATGATCAAGACTAGGCGGAAATCCAATTGCTTTGTTCTCGGTTCATAGTGGATCAATTTGAATGAAATGTTCAGCAAATTGCCTTTACATTATCTAGTTTTTAACTATTATAGTGAGAACTGCCAACTCGTTATCGAATCTCCCATAATGTATCTTTAAAAAAAAGTCATCTTGGATATAGTACAAAACTTACAGAGAGTAGCGACACGATTATCTGTTCTCTTTTGAAGTATTTGCATTCACAAATCTAATTCCTCAGCTGTGGTTTAAAGTTTGGAAGTAAGCAAGCCACCAGATTCTGAAATAATAACATTTGGCCAGTTGTATAACGCAGAAAAGCATTATAATATACATTTGTAAGTTATGCAGGACTATCAACGAAGACGAATGTCACTTTGTAATTATTTGTAATTGTACTCCTTATAAACCAATATATTTATAATACCACCCCCAAACTCCAATACTTTGTAAATCTTATGCCCTCTAAAAATCCGGAAACAATTGTCAATTTATCAAAATTCGTCTACTATTCCTTTTGTCACAGGAATATTTTATTGAAAGAAAAGTAGTACGTATCAACCAATATCGCCGTAAGAAGCTTCAATGTATTAAATTATTAAGTATATATTTGTACATTTGTATTTATTGTATATTTACACGTATTAAGTTGTTAATTAACTAAGCATTTTAATTGAATAATTTACTTATATCTATTGTGTATATTGTATAATATACGTTTACATTATAATTATCAATGATCAATGTAAAAATAGATTTATATTTATGAAATTATTATCAGTGATAATAGATCATCTTGACATATTTATATTAAATATCTAATATTCTACAAGTTATATTTGATATTAAATTAAGACTCTGAATATTATATCTATCTAGCTGTCTATGGGACTTTGGTCTTTCATGCATGGAATAAAGATTACTACATTGTATAACACAAAAAATTAAAAAATTGAATATAAATCAATTTATATCGTTAAGGATCCAAAGAATAGAGTCATACGCCCTTTAAAACTGTAACTTAACAGCAAAGACACTTTTACACCTGGGAATGTTGCTGAATTTTCTAGTCCTTGAACGTTTCCGCCTTGGTCATTTTAGACTCGTGTCTTAATTTTGTAGCATAATTAAATATAGTCATAATTTAGCCGGTAATTAGAAGTAAGGATGTATTTATAAACGTCTAAAATCCTATATTGGTGTGCTGTAATGAAAACATGCAACACAAAGCCCGTAAAAAATATACAAATGCATTTAGAAAACCCAAAACCTACGAATATAATGTGAAAGTTACTTCATATACGTACCTGTATCAATTAAACGAGTGGTACCAATATGTAAATCAGACATTGCCATTTCATCAGCAGGATTTTTAGAATCGTTAAATTCTCCTACTTCATTGATCGTAGTTCTGGGATTTGGAACTACGTGCCTATTCCTGCATCGACTAATCTTTTTTCTATGGTAAAACCCCAATGTCAGAGCTAGTACCAATACAAGACATAATGTTACTAACAGTATCACAATTGTTTGAGATTCTGAAAATATAAATCAATCTACATATATCAGGGAATATATGCGTTTTAAGAAGAGACATTATATAATGTATTGTTATATTTCGGCATTGGAAATATATATGATTACAGATAGAATCGTGTGTCATTGCTCTGTATGAATGCCTAACCTCGTGGGTTTTCTCTGTGTCCACAGGTCCCCCCCCAAGATATAAACAAAAACGTGTACAGATAGACAAATTGGGTTTAACGTAAACTTGACACAAACTAGGATATTTCGGGACTAACATATGGTTTAATTTTATTTCATTAATTCGCTTGCGCGTAGTGGTCTTTGCAGTGGGGGGGGGGGGGTGGACCGGAGAATCAGGAGAAAACCCACGGGGTTAGTCAAGCGACCCTACTCTTTGTCATTTACAAGCGGGGAATCGAAACCATGCCACTTGACTCAATAATATCAGACCTTATGACGCAACGCTCATGCGTTAACCATTCGGCCACCCAACCCCTCCCAGCGTCCAATCTAATTATTGAAATAATTAAAAATGTACCCTATATTAGTCACTAAATGACATAATATATAGTCTGTGTTGAGTGGACGTTAAATTAATCTCTCGATGTACATATGCATTGGCCATGGACATTAACTACTGTATGGCGAATAAGTATAATGTTACCAATCTCGTTTAAATAGTAAATATAAAATGTCAATAACCTGTATTTGAGTTGCCTGTCTTTTGATATTCTGCTATACTAAGTTGAAGGCTTTCTAGGTAATCTGAAATATAATTTACACACCGAAATACTTTCAATAAAACGCATTGTAGTGTTTTATTTAAATAAATGATTTGCACGTGTGATTTAGTTTAATTTCATATTTCTTTCATACACTGTGTTAAATGGGAAGCCATGCATGCATGTATAATAACAAGGTAAAGTTGGTCGTGTTCGAACGATACGAAAATGTCAAACATGAATGAGACAGCACGGCGCTTACTCGAGACCACGTCACTACATATAACTCTTCTTATTGGTTAAAAAATATTCATTCATAAAACTGCCATGTAACCCTGACATAGAACTGAATTACTGAAATTATGGAACCAGCACGCATGGTTTGGGGGTCGAAAAGGGCGTCTACACCCGACGCACCAACTAAATCAATCGGTTGAGGGTCAGTCGGTCGTATGCTACGCGGATTGGTGTGGTAGGTAAAGAATCTCGAATCATATCGCTATAAATAGAAAGGGGATTTCCGCTAAATATAACGTAAAATAATATTTCTTAAAGCAAAGCAAATTTACCTGGACAACGAGACTTGCAGTCTGCCAGATTTCCACGTTTTTCAGCATCATCACATATAGTACCACAGTGTGAACATTCATTCATATATTTATCATAATAATAATATGGCGCACACGCCATGTTGAAACGTTTAATTGTGTAGTATATAAACAGCTCTTTTAGTATTGCTCCTATCGATCTGATACTTTTTTGAAGGTGTTAATAATCCGGTAACAAGTTGCTGGGTTTGTCTTAAGATGTTCTACCTTTCACAGATTCAGCTATTTTAGATTCTAGCGTTACACCGCCCGGATATAATGTACACCCGACATTTCAACATGTAGGTATGTATATATATAGTAACCAAGCTGTGATACCCGATTTTGGTTATGAACACTAAGTCTCTTGATTTATATCTTGTTTTAACATGCAGGTAGACACACCTATACTCCAAAGTATTGAGCATCGGTTGGTTTAAAGGAATTAAACATCGGTTGGTTTAAAGTTATTGATTTAAGGATATTGAGCATCGGTTGGTTTAAATGTACCCAATATCGGATGGTTTAAATGGATTAAGCATCGCATCGATTGGTATTGAATATCAGTTTAATTTATTTATGTCTTTCATTCATAGTGAGCATTTTCGGACAATATCTAAATGTCCAAGACTTGGGCCACTCGAGAGAAAAATACTCAGATTGATTATCTAATTAAGAAAACAAAATCAAAAGATCAACGGTAGATACCGGCTTATAATCCATGGGATTAAAACTATTTTAGCGGAGATTACAGTTGGCGCTGACCTGTTTTGGTCATATCTCGTATATAGCGTCTGCAGATGATTCCAATTATTGACAAGTTTCCAAATCTTATATCATGTGAAATGAAATGAAATGGGGTTTAACGTCCTACTGTTCTGCCCCTAAACTGGGCTAATGAAGACGGGCATACGCCATACAGTGTGCGATGAGGGAAATTTTGCCCGGGCAGCGGCACTACGGCCTACACTTATATAGAATTCCAATTGCCAAGGGATCTTTTACGTGCACGCCAATCTGTGTACGGGACCTCCGTTTTTCGTCCCATCCGCACGACTAGACAGCTGTCCTTGTCAGGCCCTCCTTTCTGCATCACTGACGCCGGAAAATCTGGATGAACTTTATCGGCCAATGCAGGGATCGAACACCCGACCTTCAGGCAAGCGAGCCAGCGTCTTACCCACTTAGCCACCGTGATCCCCCCTTATATCTGTGTAAATACTAATCGGAATAAAGCCATTTATGGAATGATATTCCTTTTAGATTTTTAACTTTTAACTTTTTAGGCCTGTAAAGAAATAGTATCAGACCCATTTTTCATTTCATTTCTTTCATTTTCGAAACAGCAAGTTGTTATTCAATATAAATATATCCTTATACACAGTGTAGGCTAATTATATAAATTTTATGTGATATCTGTGCCTGTTATCCAAAATTAATTATTAAAACAAGCAACCAAGAGCCATAGAATCACTTGCGGATCAACTAGGTGTCGGGGAGCCGGGGTGGCTCAGTGAGTAAGACTCTAGCTCGCTAAAGAGGCCCTATGAGGTTCGCACCCAGTGTTGACCGAACAAATTCCTTGGAATTTTCCAGCCCGGACAAATATACGGACAAAACATATTACGCAGAAATCACAAACAAACACACAATTCAAATAAAGTAAATGGATCCGGGGGCTAGCCGTATATGTCCACTGTGCTGTAGGCCTACAGTCCCCGGCCGGTAGTGACACAGACTTCACTCAAATTTGAAAACAATCAGGAATAAAACCCAGAGAAACCATTGTGTAATACCAGCACGAGTCATGATCTGCTATATGTTACAAGAAATATGAATGTAAGCATATTGTAGTAAAATATAACTATACAAGTAACCACATAGAAGTGAAATGTATAAAAAAAAACAGTTAGATGCTCTAAGTCAATTAAGAAACGTTTTAGTATTCAATAGAATAGAGGCATATTGAAAACAGAAAGGTAAATGTTTCACCCATTACAAAAAAAAAAACAAACAAAAAAAACAACAACAAAAAAAACAGAGCAAAAAACAAACAATACTGAATACAAAGAAGCAAATGAGACAACGTTGACCGTCTCGAAAGACGTGAGGTAAAAAAGCCGGTAGGTTGTCAATGACGTCAGAATTTTAGAAAGTAACAAAAACACCACAATAAAAAGGGCGATAATCCAGATAAAATAACGCCAAAGGGTTAATAAACTATCAGTTTTGCAACTAATCGGAATTATTAAGTTATGTAATTGCACAAAGTATAATACGTAATATCCCACACAAGAAATGCAAAACAGGTATGCTGAAGAAATCGTACTATGTAGGAGTATTTATAAAGGCATAAAATAAGGGCGATAATCCAGATAGGATTATGTAACTACAGACAATTTAAAATAAATTTTTTAAATTGAATCATTGTCCAATATGTAGTCGGTTATGTACTTATAAGAAATGTCAAAACTTGGTATGTTGAAGAAATGGAAGTTTCGAAATTTCTTTTAAAATACGTAATTGTGTACCGCCTTTGGCAGTGCACTTAAAATAAAGAGATTTTATTCTGGAAAGAAATATCGTTACATATTGTTAAAAATCGTAATGTCTGTGAATAGAAAACACTATACAGCGTGGTATCTGGTATGTTATTATAAATTGACGGGTATTTTACTACTTCAAAACCAAATTTGTTCGTTTTGTCGAAAATACCATCATTAAATTTATTGTTAATTATGTTAATGTCCAGGTCAAGAACAGATGTATTTATTATGCCGGAATTTTCTTTATTTAATATTAATTCGGGGATATATTTCACTTTATATTTGTTGAAACTTCCGTTGTCATTGATGGGAAGAATTAGTCAAAGCACACTGTGACTGGTAAATTGAGACTACGATGCGCTCTAACGTCATAAAAACAATTTTGGTATGCGTCATAAATTGAGTTATAAATAGATCAATGACATTAACTTCCCGGCAAATAGTCGATTTAAATGCTACTGACATGTCCCCTATACACATATAAAATGTGCCACAAGCTAAAAAAAATGCAAGCACATGCAAACAGACGGAATAATTGTGAGAGCGCCTGATCTTAAAGTAGCCAGTGTTTGTGTTGTTTACTTATTGGCAAATAAATAAAATGGTTTCAGGGTAGAAGCGAAATTTTCTATATATAGCATTCTTCTCGAGAATATGTTTTTAAAGGATTTACTCTTTCTTTTAATTGTCTCTTTGGTATCAAAAGATGTGTAGGAAATGCCATCGAATATCTCTACGGTCAGCCACTAGACCGGGAGCCCAGCGGGTCAACCTAACTGATAAGTGTACCAATTTTCTCCTATATGGTATCAATGTATGTATATCTGGTATCATCAGAATGTAAGTCTGCCGGATATCTGGTAGTGGGTGTGGTATTCCATGCCCAAAATGCTATGACCCCCAACTAGGCTAGACTAGCTCAAAAGTGTACTAAATGAAAATCGTACAGCAGTGTACCGTACATCTTCAGGTATTACAAGTACCGTACATCTTCAGGTATTGCAAAAACACTCTGACAGACATGTCTAGTGGTGAGGTACCCCTGACAGAGCTATGTAATTGCCAGACATTTGTAGTGGTGGAGTATACCTGACAAGAGTTATCTAACATTTAGACCAAAGCTAGGCTAGATTAGCTGAAATCTGTACCACCTAAAACAGTTTTGGAGTTGTTCAGTACCACCACAGGAATCACGAATGACCACTGCCAGACAGTTTGTGCGGTGGGTTGCCCCTAACTGACACGCCCAAAATAACAGAACCCCCAACTAGGATAGATTAGTCGGCACTGTTCCCGTGTTCTAAAAAAATAGATTTTTAGCCAGGATGCATAGGATAGCCTACTAATACCTAGCACGTATGGAAGAGGCAATAAACTGCGATTGCAAGAAATTGATTTTTGGGCAAAAAACTTTTTATGGGGCTAAAAATGCGTTTTTGAAAAATAAAATTGTTCCTACAACCGCAGTTTATCGCCTCTTCCATATGTGCTAGGTATTAGTATTCTACGCATCCTGGCACACTTTTTAATTTTTTGGACCACAGGAACAGTGCCGACTTATGTATCCTAGTTGGGGGTCGTGTTATTTTGGGCGTGTCTGTTAGGGGCAACCCACCGCACAAACTGTCTGGCATTGGTCATTCATGATTCCTGTCGTGCTACTGAATAACTCCAAGGCTGTTTTAGGTAGTACAGATTTGAGCTAATCTAGCCTAGTTTTGGACTGGAAATTAGATAACTCTTGTCAGGGATACGCCATCACTACAAATGTCTGGCAATTACATAGCTCTGTCAGGGGTACCCCACCACTAGAAATGTCTGTCAGAGTGTTTTTGTAATACCTGAAGATGTACGGTACGTTGCTGTGCGATTTTCATGAGGTGCACTTTTGAGCTAATCTAGACTAGTTGGGGGGTATGGCATTTAGGGCGTTAAATGCCACGCCCACCACCAGAAACCCGGCAGACTTACATTCTGATGATACAAGATATACATACATTGATACCATATAGGAGAAAATTGGTACACTTTTCAGCTAGGTTAACCCCCTGGGCTCCCGCTCTACACCTTGTTTGAAGAAGAAACAGACTTAAGGTTGGTAAGCAAGCTGTATACCTTGCTTGGGACTTGTGCTTAGATTGACAATGTTTAAGAACAAAGTTGTGTTTAAGTATTTTCTTAGAACATATAAGAACGTGCTTGTGCTTACCCTGAAGTCTACTTACAATCTTAGCACAAGAATGTTCTTAAGAATTTTCTGGGAACACAGAATAAAGTACATGTTAGTTTACTTAAAAGTAAAATCTACTTAAAATCTAAGCACAAAAACGTGCTTAAGAATTTTCTAGGAATCGGGCCCAGGAATTTTTGACAATAGAAATTCTAAGAGTAGGTCGTAGTGTCACTTTCCTGGTAAAATGTTCCTCATATTACACTGTATGGCCCGACCCATCTTCATAAGCCCAGTACGAGCAAACAGTAGGACGTTAAAAACCCATTTCATTTCATTTTACACTGTATGGCGTATGCCTGTCTTCGTAAGCCAAGTCGGTGCAGAACTTTGGAGCGTTAAACCCCATTTTATTTCATTTCATCTAGCTATTGAGCTGCTTCCAGTAGTTAGATATCAACCTACATATCCATGGAACTAGCATTCGATTCTGAGAACATGTCCATGTTCCAAATCAGATAATATTATATTTAGATGGTATCCTATTTACCGACAGTATCCCAACGCCCAGCATATTTAAAACTAATATATGTACGTTTCAATATAACACATAATTTATTCTCGGAATATTATTACAGTATATTCGTCATAGAACGCCATTCTTTCATTAAAATATTATATATTCTTAGAATATTTTAATATTTAATGCATTCTCATCATGTGAAGATACAATTTGTTCTCAGAATATTAATACAGTATATTCGTCATAGAACGCCATTCTTTCATTAAAATATTATAGTATTTATTTTTAGATTATGTAAACATATAATATATTCTCAGAATATTATTATAACGGTATATTCGTCATAGAACGCTATTCTTTCATTACAATATTATAGTATTTATTCTAAGATCATGTAAAAATATAATTTATTCTCAGAATATTATAACGGTATATTCGTCATATAATATTATGGCATTTATTTTCAGATCATGTAAAGATATAATTTATTCTCAGAATATTATATATTCTTCATGGAATGTAATTCATTTAAATATAACATACGTTATTGTGTAATTTATCATCAGAATATTATAATATTCGTTATACAAAGTAATAATGAGTTCTTCCATTCGTGAATAAAACATATAACTATATAAATAAATAATTTTTAGATTGACCCGTTGAACTATAGCGGTTTGAAAAACTGAATTTAGCATTGGCTGGAAACCCAATGAACAATCGCACCGTGTGTTTAAAAAAAAACTATACATATAACTCTGTCCTATCGAGTACATAACAATATACGAATTTCATTTTCTAAAAGACGAAGTAACATATGCGAAGCTGACAAGGAAAGTGGTGCCTAGTGGTTCGGTGGTACTAATTACCGAGTTCCACCCGTGTACACAGTGAAATGCACGTAAATAGAGCCCCGGTAATTGCAGTTCGATGAAGAGTGACCGGAAACACCACGGTCGGTGCACAAGTGCCCCCTAGCTTTGTACACGTGACCATAAAAACACAATAAATCGTATGTGCTATTATTCATATAAATGCCTTTACAAGTCAAAATCTTAAATATTTATACAATCCAGAAATGTTTTCCATTTATAATATATGTTTTAAAGGAAAGGGAATTATTTAAATATGAATTAGTTACAGAGAGAAAACTAAATTTTGATCATTATTTTCAAAATTTATCCTATTTTAAATAATGAAACCGTGAACAGAAATTGGCGTAAACAAAACGTGATATACACTGATTCAATGGATAATACAAATTATGTAGTACCTATGTAGCCTACTACGTCACCTACTTTTAACATTAAGTATATGCGTTTCCAATCCAAACAAAATAGTCAGGGACTGTCCACGTTCCTTTAAAAAGAGGACCAGAAAAAATGCACATTTTAATCATCCCCAAAAATCTTCGATAAAATAGGAAAGGCTCATTCTTCATTTAATTTCCCCATTTTCGAAACAAAAAAATGCTGTTCTATAAAAACATATCTTAAAATACAATGTAATTATATTAAAACTTTTAAATAACACTTAAACTTAGAGTACGTCGTTATATTGGTGTCTGTTATCAAAATTAAATATTAAATAATCAATAAAAAGTCATTTAACCATACATGTATCTCTAAACAAATGAAAATGCTTACTTTGATCTACTTTGGCTCAAAGTTACATTATGTAAGAGCTAAATCTTTCGTTTTGCCTCAAATGCAGGAACCGTACAATATAAAGACATTTATTATTTTCATAAAATTTAGTCATACTCATAAAATTATTATAAAATGGAAAAATATCATAAAAAATACAAAATATTACTATTTCTTATAAAATTATCATAAAATTAGACGAAACATTTTTCAAAATATAAAATTAACCAGAAATCACTACTCACAATAATAATAAATTTCTATACAAATAAATCCGGATGTGAATAAGAAAATCGTCAAGACATTCTTACCCCCAGCTTGCTGCCCTCTTTCATTTTCTATTTGACAGTGTTCAGTCAATGGTATGTGGGTATATGAAGATAGGAGAAGATGACTGCGGCCATTAATACCACCAGTGCTACTGGTGGAACGTTTCAATCCCCATAACACTGGCTGAACACTACTTCATGGACCGGGGATAAGTTATTTACTGTCAGTGCAGTTATATAAAATATTTAATAATGACAAAAACATAAAAAGTCATAAAATGTGATAAAAACATTATAAAATTATCATAAAATTTGACTGAAAAATATCATAAAAATCATACAATAACACTAGAGGCTTTTATAAAAATATAAATTTTTGCCAAAAATCTGAGTACGGTCCCTGCAAATGTTACATAAATCATTATTTAAACATTTAATCACATATCAAGCCAATAATCAAGTCTCTAGAACGTCAGATGGCTTTGATTTTCAACGGATTTAAACACGATTACCAGTTAATAATTCAATTAAAAAATGGATAATCGAGACTTTGTTTATTATCGTAATAACAGAGGCAATGACACTCAAGAATACACTATTCTTCAAGCAGCCATAACTCTGCTCAGATTGAAGTAATTTTACTGAAATGTTGAATAATGACATAGTCGGACGTTAAAACATCGTTTATCTAGTGTTGATCAGATTGGTGTACATTTTAAACATTGGTAATGGTGAGCCAGGGAGACCCTGAAAGACTGCTATACTTTAAGAAAGTTAAGTTTAAAAAAAAAAACCTTCCCCGTCTCTTTCCGCGATCAATAGATCGGTTAACTTTTACAAGTATTATAAGTTCAAAATCAAATAGGTAAACATACATTATGCAAGAGCCTGAAATGTTATGTAAATTATTAATTAGACATTAATTAACTTATCCAGACCGTAATCAACTCGCAGGTTTCCATTAACACGAATATTAAAAAAATATAATTATTATTAGTGTCTGGTTATTATGTATTAGATGTGTCAAACTAAAAAAAAAAAAACTTGTCGCGAGACTTTAAATAAGACGCAGGGATTCGAAACCACGCCAGTTGACTCAATGACTTGAACTACATGCATCTGGTGCAATTGGAAATAAGCTGTTGTCCATATCCCATCGATTAATATACCAGAAATAATTTGTTTCTATGATGTCCAGGTTATGATAAAGTTTGTTTCGAAAAATCGTTATCCATACATTTACGTACCTGTATTAAATGGATGAACTATAAAGGGGGGTAAGTCGGACAATCCAGTGGTTATGGTCGTTGAAGGCATATGGGACATCTCTAGGTTTATATTAACGCCCCCAGAAACACTGACAGTTTCTTTAGCAGAATATTCCCCAGTGCCGTCAACAAACAATTTGCCAGTGCCTCTAACAGACGATTTGCCAGTGTCTCTAACAGAAGATTCGCCGGCGCTTTTAACACAAAATTCACCGGTCCCTTTAACAGAAGAATCTCCAGTGCCCTCAACATGATATTCTCCCATTTCTTCTATCGTTGGTCGTACAGAAGTTTCATCATCAGTTTCATCTTGCCGCAGGATTCTATTTGTAAGAAAGTTAGCACTCTCCTCCACCGTTCTATTCACATCACGTCGTCGTATGTATTTCTTTTTGTATATCAAGAGGCTTATCGACGTTCCCAGTAAAGCGACGAAAACCAGTGCTACTATTACAACTGACATAATTAACTGATGGTGGTATTCTGTCCAAAAAAAAACCATTTTCATTTACAAAAATACATCTATCTGCTCAAACTACAGACATAAATTTATTTTCGTTTTGTTTCATTAGTTATCGATGGCCCCCAATTCATATAAATATCTGTTTTGTGTTCTTCTCTACGGTTCATCACACATCTCAAGATAACATTGACTAATCATGCACACCACACAGAACGCAGTTTACGTAAAAACTCTTCCAGATAAAAAAAAAATAAAAGAAAATTGAACCATAAAAAAACAAAACGAAATAATCAGATTGAATAAGCCTGTATTGTTTTGTTGGATTCGTGTATTTAGAAGGTCCTAGTCTATTTTAATTCAAACCCGGTTATTCTTATCGCATGTACTAATATGAATTTACATAACTTGTGGATGGAGATCAAACGTCCACTCAACACACTAAAAAAATAGCAGGTATGCAGGGGTCTTTAACAAAGAGATAACTAATGCGATTAGATAGAGGATCCTACTTCGTTGCAAAGGTGTGTGCTGACGTGTTATTAAAATATGTTCATACTTTCTCTTCCTTCTCCCTCCAGTACCCTTTGTGACCCATGACGCATTACAGACAAACGCAATAAACCCACCACTATTTTCGTTGTTTCCGGTAAGTTGTTCTTGAATGTTCTGTCGAATGCTTTCTAGATAATCTGAAATGATTTTTAAATTTAAATCAACAAAACACCCTCTAACGCGGATACTGATAAAATGGTGAAATAAATATTACATGGGCAAAATGACCAAATTTACGCTCAATCAAAGTTATAATTAACCAGCGGTTGCCAGGCACTATACGCCCACATTTTGCAAGAGATGGATAGAGAACAAGCTAAAAACAAACATGATTTTTTGTACAATCAGGGGCAATAATCCAGAAAGTTATGGCCTGAAATGTGCAAATATCAAAGGGACAGAGATCTTTGGGATATAAAGATATGTTTTCAGTTTCATCAAAATCGGATAAAAATTGTGACCTCTAGAGGGTCAACAACCTTCGTATTACACACTTCTACATAATTTGAGTACAAAGAGCGGCCATTTTGTCGGGCAGTTTCATTTCGACTTTCCCGAAATACGAATTCAACTTTCATTATGGTGGAATGGTGATGTATTTAAACTGTTTTTAAAATCGGGAAAAAAATGTGACATCTAGTAAATCCGCAAGCTAAAAATGCGATTTTTCGAACACCCAGGGGCCATAATCCAGGAAGTTCAGTTCGGGTATCCGCGATTATCAAAAGGAACCAAGATCTTAGTGTGTAATGAGATATATTCACACCACAAGCTAAAACGCGATTTTTTGTTCAATCAAGGGCCATAATTCAGGAAGTTACGATCCGATATGCGCGAATATTGACAGGAACTGAGATCTTTGGGTTATAAAATTGCATTTCAAGTTTCATCGAAATCGGATCAAAATTGTGACCTTTAGAGGGTCAACAACTTTGATATACCAGATATTTACACTATTTGCGCACGAAGGGCGGCCATTTTGTCCGGCAGTTTTGGTCTGATTTTCATGAAATTCGAACTCAACCATCCTTAGGGTGTAACTGTAACGGTGATATATTCGAACGTTTTTTTTAAATCGGATAATAATTGTTACCTCTAGAGGAACCACAATCTAAACACGCGATTTTTCGTACAGTCAGGGCCCATAATTCAGGCAATTATGATTTGATATGTACGAAAATAGACAGGAACCCAGATATTTGTGTTATAAACATGCATTTCAAGTTTCATCAAAATCAGATGGAAATTGTGATCCCCAGAGGGTCAACATCCCGATACACAATATTGTGACACTATTTGCGAAAAAAGGGGGGGCTGTTTGTCCGTCAGTTTCGGTTCGATTTTTTACGAAATTTAAACTCAACCATCCTTTTTAAAATCGGATAAAAATTGTGACCTCTATGGGGGTCCACAAGGTAAAAACGCGATTTTTCGTACAATCAGGGGCCATAATTCTGGAAGTTATGGTCCGATATGCGCGAATATCGAAAGGAACCGAGGTCTGTGGGTTATAAACATGCATTTCAAGTTTCATCAAAATCAGATTAAAATTGTGACCTCCAGAAGGTCCACAACCCTGATACACAATATTTTGACACTATTTGCGAACGAGGAGCGGGCATTTTGTCCGTCAGTTTTGGTCCGATTTTTACGAAATTCGAACTCGACCTTCCTTAAGGTGTAACGGTGATATATTGTAACGGGTTTTTAAATCGGATAAAAATTGTGACATCTATGGGGTCCACAAGCTAAAAACGCGATTTATCGTACAGCCAGGGGCCATAATTAAGGAAGTTATGGTCCGATATGCGCGAATACCGAAAGGAACCGAGATCTGTGGGTTATAAACATACATTTCAAGTTTAAACCAAATTGGATAAAAACTGTGACCTCTACAGTGTTCACAAGCTTAAAACGTGATTTTTTGTACAATAAAGGACCTTAAAATACAGATGTGACGTCACCCTTTGATGTTGGCGTACCATTATTTCAAATAATCGTACGGGCAACTTGCCAATCGTACCTTGTCAAATATTAGACTCGAGTGGCGTATTTCACTGTAGACGCACGTGCGGAGTGTCTGTATTTTAAGATGTTTAATGGTCTCGAGCTGAGACATTGCGTAATATATTGTAAAAACACTCGGACCTGACGGTCCTCTTGTTGTTACAATATATTACTTAATGTCTCGCTCTCGACCATTAAACAATACATAATCCATGAAGTTACAGTCCGATACATGCCAATATCGAAAGAAAACGAGATCGTGGGGTGATAAACCTATATTTCAAGTTTCATTGAAATTGGATAAAAATTGTGACCTGTATAGTGTTCACAAACAATTGTGGACGGACGGACCTCCGCCCGGACGGAAGGGCGGACAGGAGAGACGACAATATACGTCCACATGAAAATGTGGGCGTATAAAAATCAAAACTTAACGATAAGTCCCATTCAGAGCTCTGAAAGTGGCCTCTGGATAACGTGAGAGGTAGACGTATTAGCCAACTATTTAATTAATATGTGTTGTTTTATCGTGTACAATATGTTCGTGGGCATTAATATTATGGGATCATGTAGATATAACTGGAGAAAAATAATTATTTTCTTGAACTATTTTTATTCGATTTAACAAAATGTTAACCGGATATTTAAGTCACTTGGAAATAAATTGGTCTCGTTCTTCAAAGTCAAATTAAAGATCATATCTAGCAACTGGGGGATCTACTGCTCTGTGTCAGCTGAACCCAATGCAGACGCGCATAAGCTATATAATGTAGTGGTTAAAAGAGGAATTTTGGCCGATAAGCGGCATTTCTGCCTACTCTTCGATGAATTCCATGTCATTGGATCTTTTACGTACACGCCAACGAACAAACAGATAGGCCTCGGTTTTTCTTCATACCCGTACGACTAGACGTTTCCTCCTTGCCAGGCCTTCCAATTTGCACCATTGTCAAGGTGTATTCAGGCTAGAAAGTACCGTTGAAGTTTCTCAGCCAACACCCGGATCGCATGAACTAGCGTCATACCCACCGAAGCACCGTGGTTTCGTGAATAATATCTAGTGTCTTACAGTGTTTATGCCGTTTCCACACGAAGCAAATCTCAGGGGCATAGTTTTAAGTTATTGACTAAAAGCGCCCATTCATAAACCCTGCGTATTACAGTGATAATATATTAGATCAGCCAATGGCTGAAGTGGGAGTAACCTATAAAACTACTAACTAGAACGTTCGATAGCCTATATTTACTGCAGGGGCATAGTGATGAATGGCCATAATTTTGTGGTTGAGTACGGCCGAGACATTATAGTTTTAAGTTATTGACTAAAAGCGCCCATTCATAAACCCTGCGTATTACAGTGATAATATATTAGATCAGCCAATGGCTGAAGTGGGAGTAACCTATAAAACTACTAACTAGAACGTTCGATAGCCTATATTTACTGCAGGGGCATAGTGATGGATGGCCATAATTTTGTGGTTGAGTACGGCCGAGACATTATGGCGCAAAAATCACCCTTTGGCAAGCACGCCTCCTTTCGGGTCAAACAATTGAAATTGGAAAGTTGAATTGAAAGGAACAGCTTCTGCCGTGGTATTATAAAGAATCCACTTTTGATTTATGGGTCAGATATGATAGCAAAATTGGAGCAAAGGGTCTCTGATTTACATTGAATTCATAACGCGGTTTTAAATACATAACCATAACAACCGAGTGGTCTTTAACGCTATTTTACTATTCTATTAAAATCCCTAAAATGCTGCTATTGATTCAAATGTAAGTGGATTTAATCATAAACATTTTAGCTTCCCGATAAATATTGCCAGGTACACATTACTGCACATCGTACACTTAGGCTATTAATAGAAGAAATGGGATTTCCATACACGTCACTACTCGGTCTGTAATGAATAGTTGCCTTCATTTACCTGAAACAAAAGAAAGCTTACCTGGGCAATTAGAATAACAATGTGCCATGTTTCCGCGTTTCTCAGCATCATCGCAGATTGAAGAACAAGGTGAACATTCCTTCAAATATCTATCGTAATAAAAATACTTTTCACTGCATGCATTCCACATGATGACAAATCCCAGTCTGCACAAGAGAATAAATGAAATGAAATGGGGTTTAACGCCCTACTGTTCTGCTCCGCACTAGTGAATAACTGGTTATCACCCTATTTATTTTCGTCAATAATGGCTTGCGTCCGCGGATGCTATATTAAAACTCCTTCCGTTGAGTGAAATGTACCAGACATCTTCAGTCAACGACGCTTCAGTCAACGACCAAGTCTCCCGAAAGTTGTCACTATAATAAGCGTATGATGTAATGGTTTATTATAGATCTATAAAAATAACGCCATATCAAGCGGATATGAAGTATAACGTCTATTTCAAAAATAGCTTACCTATATACATTAAGGGCAAGGTAAAGTGACAAAAATTATCACAACACCTGAAATTGGGGACCGGGCTCAAAACGTTTTACTGTAAAATATTATGCAAGGAAAATGTAACACCAATATTGTCAACCGGGTGTACGATTTAAAGGGGTATTGACAGTGAAATAGTGTATTGCGGGTAATAGTTTATTTTGGACTTCACTTTAGTATCAAGGACAACGAACCAGAACAACGGATGTAAATGTTTTTGTGGTAAAGTCTGTAAGAATTCTAGAGGTTTGAAGATCCATCAAAGTAGAATGAAATGTGTGCAACCCCATTCTGGCAATCAACGCACAGAGAGATCTGGTCAGACGGAGGAGGAGACCATCCAGGAAGCAAACCACAGTGATGATAGCCTCCCTGTGACCCAGGGTGAGGATGAGCACGAGGAACAGCCTACAGAGGTAGAACAACTTGACGAGGCAGAAGAGATAGAGAGGATAGAACCAACAGTCCATAGAGAAGACGGGATAGAAACAACAGTCCGTAAAGAAGACGGGATAGAACCAACAACCCGTAGAGAAGAGAATGAGCCACGCAAAGAGAAGATCAAATGGCCAACGAATGCAGACAAAGCAGCTTGGAAAGCGCTTGACGAAGATTTGGAAAACATCTTAGAGGCAACATTAGCAGGCAGTGTAGACAGAAAGATAACAGCAATGACGTCCATTATTTACAGCGTAGGAAAGGACAGATTTGGAGTGGTACCACAAGGGAAACAACCAACAAAACTAGGCCATAGTAACCGGAGACAGAAGAAGATCAAGGAATTGAGAGGAGACCTGAGAAGGTTAAAGAAGAGGTACAAAGTCGCCAATGAGAATGAAAGGTTACCATTACAGCAGTTAAGAAAGGAAACTAGGGAGAAACTTAAAACACTTAACAGAGCAGAAACGCATAGAAGAGATAGAAAGAAAAAGTGTAGAGAAGCAGAAGTGGCATCACAGTGGATTTGGAGGAAAAGAGACGAAGTGTGGAAAAGTACAAAGTGTTAGAACAATGAACATTTATTGTGTAGATAATGGACAGATTTAGATATACAGAACAGCATTCAGTTACAGAAGAACAGCAATGACATCAGCTGAGACATCGGAGCCGTGTAGGCCATCCAGTTCCAGGTTCAGATTGATCACCTGAGCCGGCGCACCTCTGGAGGTTGTTGTGGATTAGCGCCGAAACAGCCAAGGAAGGAGGACCCCACCTGATGATGGAATTGGATTAGCATTCCTTTGATGTTTACAAGGTAATCAAGGGCTACTATTCTGTGTTTGAAAATAATATGTTTACTTTACCCTTTCCGTAATATATTTCTATAGCAAGCTTGTATAGTTGACCTAGATCTGTTTTAAATTGACATTTCCATGTAGACTGATTATAATTACGAAGGATATAAACAGCGCACATGCATGAATATTGGGTATCTGTAGAAGGGCGTTGTTAGAGGACCTAGGTACTAGCCTAGTAAGTAATATGCATGTAAAACTATTGTAACTGGTATAAACAAACCCACTATTCCTAAATGCTTTGTTCCCCGGGTTGGCTCTCACTTTGTTTGCTCTATCGACAAATAAAATGTACGCCCTTTCGGCTAAAAGCATGGAATTATTTCACCACCGCCTTGTTAGAAAGTACAGTAATCCTATACAACAGGCAAGTGAACATCTCCTTTATATGGGGAGGTAATTATGCCTTAGGCATTATACTTAGTTTCAGCTTAATTTTATCTTTGAAAACATTTTCCATATAAAAAAACACGTCATGTTTGCCTTAACTAAATATTCTGCTGAAATGGGCTACTGAAGACCGTGGCCAAGGTGGATCCATTGGTGTTAAATCTGACTCAAACCCAACTCGACCACAACTGAACTGACTAACGCCACTCACTGACTAACGCCACTCGAAACAAACTAGGTCATTGCGGAACTAATTTGGCTCAATTTTTTTTTCTACAATCCGCATGCATGTAGGGGTTGTTTGCAGAGGGAGGAAACGGAGAACCCAGAGGAATCCCTTGGGGTTGGACAGGCGACCCTACTCCTTGCCACGTGCAAGCCGGGAATCGAAAGAACACCACTTGACTCAATGACAGACCAACCGGGCAGCATTCTTGAGAATTCATAACTACGCCACGGCACTGAGACCAACCGGGATACATGGGTGAGACATGGAGCTCATTGCACACATTAGTCGATTTTCGCGCGTATTTTTGTCAGTATTTCTTTTTTTTTAAAACAATATTTTTTATTCGGGTTGTCTGTTGGGGAGCAGACTTAGCCTATGTAAAACCCCTCTCCCTGGCAGTATTTCTTTATTGTGATAAAATTATCAAAAAGAGAGATGATAACATCTAGCGTATGCCCGTCTTCATTAGCCCAGTTGAAGCAGAACAGTAGGACATTAAACCAAATTTCATTTCACAACCACACATGCACCCCTTTCAATAACAACACAATGAGTATTTTATTTAGATATATATATACAAGGATAGTAACCTGCTATTTATTGTTCCTTAAAGAGCAGGGTCGTATACTATTACTCATTGCGGTGAATATAGATTATAATCACTTATAAAATCGGGTGTCCCTAGTTTGTTCATGTCAATCACGTGGATGAATCTCAATTGTTATCAAAAGCATAAAAAAAAGAAACATTATAGACTGTATAATTCGATAATATGTATAAAGAATGTGACTGAAACATGATCTTGGGATAAAAGGCGTTATAATTTTATCACAATAAAGAAAAACTGACAAACACGCGCGTGAAAGTCGGCTACTGTGTGCAATGAGCTGCATGTCAGTGAATTCTCACGTGGCGTAGATATGTATATGAATTCTCACCATTGGCAGAAAACAGCTAAAATTTTGGACAATAGGATGCAAAGAAAGAAAAACATCCGAGATGAGCTAGTCAAAAAATGTATTCTAGTACGTGTATTACTTGATGTATTGGGATATTGTATATTTTAGCCGAATTGACAAATAAATGAATTAGAACTGTATAATATTAGTGTAATCGGGAAAGGCGTCTCTATTGTTGCTTTTTCTCCCACGACTTTAACGTCCTACATTTCTGCAATTGTTCGTATTTTACGTTTTCTATGACTATTTTTTTCCTATTTAAATACATGTGTTATAACATACAGGATTAGATAACAGGGTTAAAAATAGTCTTGTACACATAACCGTGTGAGAGCAGTGAGAATCTTCGGTAATAACTAAAGACTGGAACTATCCTTGAAACTATTTATTACCAGAAAACATTAAACGTCATATGTGGAGAACAACACGTCCGACAAGACGAGTAACTCTCCTGGAAACGGGATAAAACCTAGAATGCTATATAAATCTACAAATCGGTTTTTATAATAAAATGGTATCTAAGGAATTAACAATATACACCAATGTTACTAATAAAAATTAAAGAGGAAAGTTTAAAATGTAACAATAGGATAGTAATTAAACTAATTACTATGTCAGCTGTCAACCGTCTGTCATTAGATTAATAGCCTGACGTCAAATTAAAAATGAGGGATTAACAGAAACAAAAGAATCATAGAAATGTTTAATTGAATGAATGAATTCTAAACGAATGAAATATTGAAAGAATGAAATAGAAAAAATTCATAAATTTATCACCATTACAATTGCAAAAGGATCAGTGTGATCTGACATAGTTCTATTTGTTCTCTTGGTATTTTCCTATATCTGTGTCACTAGACCACCATTACAATTGCAAAAGGATCAGTGTGATCTGACATAGTTCTATTTGTTCTCTTGGTATTTTCCTATATCTGTGTCACTAGACCACCATTACAATTGCAAAAAGGTCAGTGTGATCTGACATAGTTCTATTTTTTCTCTTGGTATTTTCCTATATCTGTGTCACTAGAGCATGATGGGGGCGTCTAATAGATAAAGTACGTGCGAGATATATATATATATATATATATATATACTCTATTTTCTAACTTTAGAAATGAAATGAAACGGCCATACGCCATTCAATGTGATATGAAAGCAACTATGACCGGGCAGTTGCGCTATGGCCTACTCTTATATCGAATTCCAATACGTGCATGCCAATGTGTACACGGGACATCGGTTTTTCGTCTCATCCAAAGGACTAGACAGTTGTCCTTGTCAGGCCCTCCGTTCTGTACCAATGACAAGGGGGAAACCATGTCGGAAAATCCAGATGAACTTTCTCGGCCAATGCAGGGATCGAACACCCGACCTCCAGGCTAGCGAGCCAGCGTCTTAACCACCCAGCCACCAGAGCTCCCAGTGAGAAATAAGATGATGCACTGGGAATAATACAATCGCAAATCACCATTTATGAGTGACCAAGTTGGTAAAGTGGTCATTTCGTAAAACTATGATCCATACAGTCACAATTAATAGATGCGGATACAATATTAACATTGGGATTAATATTAGCATCTATTCAATAATAAACAATGGGTTGTTAAAGTGATCTGCGCACTTTGATCACATTTTATCGTAGATTAGGCACAGTTAACATGTTGGACAATTGCTTGCATTTTCGCATAGATGTTACAAACAGCTTTAATATAAATGTACGTATTTGATAGATTATGGTTAAGATAACATTATTTAGTCAAAGTAGCCAGTTTTACATATTGGCAAAACGCAAGGGTCAATGTGTTCTGTCATCAATGCAACCAGTCATACATTACAATTCAGAGAAACTAATTCAGTCTAGAGCGAGAAAAATGGTGGTTTAACACCCACTCGACACAAACTAGGTCATTTCAGGACTAACATATAGTTCAATTTTATCTCAATAATAAGCTTGCGAGTAGAGATCTTTGGCTGTGAGAGGAAGCCAGGGGATCCGGAGAAAATCCACGGGGTTTAACGTCCTACTGTTCTGCTCCAGACGATTTTTAAAACGATTGGACCAATACGTTATAGAACGTGGGTTGGACTTTACCGCATGGATGTTGTATAAAGAGACACGCTGCCCGTGGAGAAAAAACGGCTCAGTTAGCTATATTTAGTTTTCAAGCAATATTGGCCATTTTAAAACTATTGTACCCGAGTGACGCAATATCCCACCAACGCATTGACCTATTTCTATACATAAGGCAAACCAAACCACAAATCTGTCTGTGGTTACTTGGTCCCCACAATACGACTCATATTAAGTAACCGAACCCAACATTAAAGACATACAAATTTTTGTGGCAACATTTTTTTTATTATTATACAATTAGATTTGGCAGTGGTTAATCCACTTCATTAACCCTTTAATAGATAACAGCGATATAAAATAGGTGTCTTTGGCTTTTTTCATCTAATGTTTAATATAAAGCGGTATTGTTTAAATAGTTTGCTGGTCGTTGCCTTTATCAAATATATTCTTCAGTTATTTTACATTTATAAATATATATATTTCAGAGTTAACGTCAAATTTCGGTGTATATCTGTAAAATAAGAGACACAAAATGATTATTTGGATAATTCATGAACAAAGAAACTTTAAAACTTGGTGTCGGTATAGAATCAATATAACTTTAGTTGAACACAGTAACTTACCAGAATTATGATTCCGATGGAAGTGAAAATCAACCTTGTTAAATAGTATCGTTTCTCCGCACAAATTTAAATATACTATTGAATGTATATAACTATATTTTTGTATGATAAATGGACATTTTAGAGGTGGTTTTAAACAGCTATGTTCAGTTTCTTGAAGGCTGGGATCTAATATGACAATCTCTTATAAACTTGAGACAGGTCTGTTAAATAAATGTATATGATACCCATTAAAATATTGTTTTTCCATACGGTTCTTTTCTACAATATATTAGACGTTTAAAATATGTTCAGTGGCATTTAGTAATTGAACTGGAATATACAGATCACAATTCTATATAATACAATTACTGCTTATTACTGAGCGACGTTTCAACTAGGCTTCTCTAGTCAGTATCAAGCAATGTTAATGACTAGACAGACCTAGTCGAAACGTCGCCCAGTAATAAGCAACAATTGTATTCCATAGAATTGTGACCAGTATATATTACACGTGGTTTTAAACGGTTGGTTTTCATTTCCTTTGGGGCTATGATATAGTGTCATCTTATCACGCCGATATAAATGACAATAGATTTAATAAAGGACAATATTTGTAAAGGCAGAAGTACCTTAGATGCAGTGTTGGTAGACCTGTGTTAGGGCAAGTTGGTTCTACTGACTGTGGGCCAGGTTGTTTGAAATCTATAAACGGCTGTTCGGTCTCCTCTATAGGTTTGGTTAATGACATCTCTTCTTTTTTTTTCTTCCTCCAACGGTAAAAACATACAATCAAACCAACTATTAAACAAACGATTGCTAGTAAACTAATAGCTATCGGTAACCAAATCTTTAAACTATTACCATCACTGTTCGAACTCTCTAAAAAATATTCAAAAACATTTTCATATAAAAGCCCATTTCAACCCTATATTATGGCGCGATTGCATATGCTTGGCTAATGGTTTGGAGCAGTGGCTACACGACTTTAAATATCGTGTTTTATTTCAACTTTCCATATAACCTTTCATATGCGAGGTTATTGCCAAATCAAGCTTTGAATTAAATTGTCCTCACGATACATACTATAGAAAGGTGTATACTTAAATTTGATACCCCTCTTTGATATGCATGTGGTGTTGATATAACACGATAAAGTCACAATAATTATATACAAACCTTGTGGAGCCAATGTAGTGGCGTGTATCCGTTTGTAATAATCTGTAATAAAAACAAAATATGTAAACTGAGAGAGACCGTACGACCACCGCGTGCCCAAATCTGATGCGAAAGCAAATATCATAACACCATATCCATGATTAATTAGACAACCTTTCGTTATAAAGATTGCACAAATATGAATATAGCTGGGTCGGGTTACAAATCATGTTACTGAATTGGTAGAACACAAAATTTTGTTGGTAGACATATATTTGAAGACTAAGTATCGAAAAGGTCGTAATTGGGATTTCTGAATAGACCAGCTTCCGTTGGCTCGCTGACTCATTTATCCCGTTAAATGCTTAAGAACTTTTCCCGCCCTGCTTCGCAACAACCTTTTCGCTTTATACAAAGTACATTCGTAAATCGTGCATCACATTCATTTAAGCAAATCCCATTTTCTGTGAAATAGTGTTGTTGGCTACTTCCCTAAAGCTGACACAGTGCTGCTATGAGCAGAAAGCTCAATGCTGGGTTATATACAGCTACTATTTTAAAAGACACTACTTAGGCACATACATATAACCATTGTCATAACAAATTGTTAGCAAAATATTAATTGAAAATAGTTTATGGAAAGTCTGGTGCACAATCTATTGTAGCAATGGCTTATAAGCAGGCCTTTTAAAGCAGTGCTTCTTTGCGAATGGTTCATCCAACAGTGAATAAATTTGGAGTGAAATTAACAGAAACAAAAGAAAAATTGTGTCGCGGGTACATTGAGTGCGAAGACACGGAATAGGATTGCCTGTCCAACCTTGTGGGTTTTCTCCGGGTCCTCCGGTTTCTTCCCACTGCTAAAAACCCTAGGCGCAAGCGAATTATTGAAATAAAATTGAACCACGTGTTAGTCCCGAAATGATCTAGTTTGCCTCGAGTGGACCTTAACCCACCCCCCACTCTCTCTCAAGAAGCATTACTGAAAATCGCGACACAAAATGAATATAAAATCTTATTTACCTTCACATTTCTCAACACAATATGCTACATTATTTCTAGCCTCGGCTTCATCACAGATAGTGCTGCAGTGGCCACAGTTTATCGTTGGGTCACTATATGTATCCTTTGGACAGACGGGTGGCATCCTTAGAAGTGAAGTTTTTAAAACACCAATTATCCAAGTGCAGTCCTACACACAAAATTCTGGCTCCAATGGAGCTACAGTAAGATCTCTAATGCTGTCAACACCTATAGCTACTGTCTCATTATACACATGGCCATAGACCCACTGAATCTTATCTTTATATTGTATTTCAATATTTTTTGGTTGTGGGAGGAATGTGCTATCTATGTTGGCACAATATCAAATTTCACACCGATGTTAATATTGTATAATATAAAGATATCCAATGCTCATTGTATCATTTGATATACTAGCAGACGGCTTATATTATATTGTACTGTTCCTTTCAAACTGGAATTTCATTATGTTGAAATTAAGAGAATTGCCAATGAGAAGAGATGATAATGATTCCAGATTGTGGATTATAATAGATACGTTGCATGGCTTCAATCAAACATGATTTATGAAAATATATCTCATGTGAAATCACATAATAAAATCGGGCAAACCCCATTTTTTCATAACTCAAACGCACGCCCTTTTCAACGTAAATGACTGCATTCAGAATGTTTATATTGTGGAAAACAGCATTATGTATTGAGGGTTATTATGCTATAGGTTATGTTATGTTTTAAGCAAATTCTATCGAGGTCGTAAATCACTACAAATATATTTACTTAGGATTTGTATTTTTAAATCGACTCGAAAAATTTATGTTATGCTTCAAAAGCTTTAATTATCACCATTCATAAAAAACAAGGTTAAAACATATTAAAATAATATTCAAAGGTCTCACGTATGTTGGGTGCATTGAAGGCTACTGCTTCTTGATATCTGTAATATAAGATAGGTCAAGGTATGTCTAGACTGATTTGTAGTCATAGTAAAATATTTTAGAGAGAGAGAGAGAGAGAGAGAGAGAGAGAGAAATGGGGTTTAACTTCCACTCGACACAAAATAGGTCATTTCGGGACTAACACATGGTTCAATTTAATTTCAATAATTCGCATGCGCGTAGGGGTCTTTAGCAGTGGGAGGAAACCGGAGGACCCGGAGAAAACCTACGTGGTAGGACAGGCGACTCTACTCCTTGTCACGTACAACCGGGGAATCGAAACCCTGCCAGTTGACTCAATGACAGACCGTATGATACAGCGCGCGCGTGCTAACCATTCGGCCATCCAACCCCTTTAAAATATTTTAGACCAAGAGCCAGTGACGAAAAACTACCTCATAAGTAATAGAAGATTTCACCATATTAATTGGCAGCTATTGATAGGGCGAATTCAGAACACCCAGTCATGGGGGTAAGACACTTCTGTCAGCTCCCTTTATTTTACCAAATGGGAATATGACTAAACACAAGTAGTAGTGGTGTGAGCGGATAAGACAAACTAATCATCCGGTCTAATTTTTTTTCGAAGAAGTAGTCGACCTATCATATTTCTCTCCATTTTCAACTGTACTATGTTGTTGATCTTTTGTCGTTTCATGGTTTTGACCCTTTTCTGGATTTATCAAACCGAGAGGGGTCTGCAATAACTTCTGAATTAAATTGTCACGAGATATGTTGCCATTTTCATAAACGTTTAATAAGAAATCTGTTGTTGATGAAGGAGCGGCTTTACCAGAGTTAATGTTAATAAATATATCATCTTGTTTCCCATTATTCTTGAATGGATTAGACATGTTTACAATTTGTTCAATATTTTTTATGCGATGTGCTCTGTTCTTCTGAATATTAGCTTGTCTCAATATATCTGCCCTGATATAATGAGACATGGACCATCTCTGTGTAGCTGCTATGGGATTTGTAAATGATGATATACCTGAAAAATGATTAGCAGCATCTGCATTAACTTTCTGTTCTGTGTATGGAAAGAGCGCCTATTTGGAATTCGTCAGATGTCCCACAGGATGTGTTTCAGGCCTACTTCCATATATATGTGGAAAGGTCCTTGCATTATGCAGAGGTTGTCATATAGAGAACTTTCTGCAGCCCGGAATGAATATGTTATCTTTGCAATAGCCAAGTCATATGCCACTATCATGTATTCCTGACCACACTCTTCAGCAATCTGTTGTTTCCAAAACAAAATTGAGGGAGGTTGATGATTGATTGATTTGAGGAAGGTAACATATTTGTTGTTGAGGAAAGGTTATCTTTTACCACAATTGAATTCCATCCTACCCACATTGGTATATCAGTAATTTTTAATGCATGTTATATCATCTTCTGGGATCATCTTTTGGGATAAATTCACTGTTAGTCATTCTAGGCTTCTTCCTGTATGGTTCCAGATTTAAAGGGATTGCAGTAAATGACCGTTTTTCCCGACAAACAGGAAGCTGGTTATCATTGTCAGTTGTTTCAGTACAGGTACTTGTATCTCATACAATTTGTCGTAATTATCCCAGGCAGTATAGGTAACCACGTGGAACCATACTCTGTTCTTCGTGTGAACTGTATGTTAATTCTCTCCCCAGTTCTTCAGTGCAGTTGTAAACAACACAAGAAACATTGTACATGGCATCTTGAGAAACTGATGCAATTTTTCTAGCATTTCTTTCTGGTTTCCCTCGTCTCCGGTCAGGGCCTTCTAACAAATAAGTAAAAACGTTGATTACTAAATCTAGCACAGAAGCTTCTCCATGAATTATATCCCGCACTGTTAATTTTGATGATGAAGTGGGCTAGGTACATTTAGTATTTCTTTACGTAATACGTATGCTATGTCACCAATCTTCGCTTTTATCGATCAATTTTCTGAGTACTCCTCTTCAACATCCATTCTATTGTTATAAATGATATTTCCTTCAGTATTTGATGATAATAATGCCAGTTTCTCTGTTCCAAAGTAATTCCTCTCAAAATGGAAAATAGTAAAATCACTAAATATATCTTGATATCTTGGCTGCCATGCTGCAAAAAACTGGTATATACTTGCAACAGAATTGCAATGCACAGATCATTATATAGTTCTTCTGTTGTGTATAGATTTTCTTCTTCAATAACAGATTCTTGTATAAAAGATAAAGCCATGAAATAATGTAATATTATATTTAAAGGAGCTAAATCGCTATTCCTTGTACTGTATATAAATTGATTTACATTCAATCCTTTCTGTTTTTAATGTAATTTCTAATCAGTTATGTTCGGCGAAATGCGCGAAGAGTCCGAATTCAATGACAGTCTTTGGCGTCTGGTTACTCCAATCCACACCGGTGGTATTCTCCTACATGGGATATGTTTAGCATCGTTCATCGAGTCGCTACATATAAATGGCACGCGAATTCATTCTGGCAAGCGATTCGTGTGCCAGTTTTAACATTTTCATTTTGTCTTATATATGGATAACATAAGCTCAACTTTTCACGGTAAGATAACAACATCAATGTTGATTTAAATTGACCATTAAGTTTTGTTTGCAATGTCGAAGACTGTGGACGATATTGAGTTAAAGACTTAGCTCATTTAATGGAGAATCATATCTCTTGGGAGGGTAGCATTTCTGAATTAAGTTCTGCTAGTGCTATGTTGTTGAAAACTGCAAACGGATAGTGGGGGTGTCAAACTGGTCCGTTTGTCGATTTAACTTTAAAGTGAAAGCAAGTATGTGTATTCAACCTTTGTGTGTGTGGTGACAATTAAGTGGTCGGCTTAGGAGTTTGCCCCGCGGAAACCCGTGAGATTTGATATTCTTAGAACCGACTAATATACTCTTCCAAAAAAGTAGGGGATATTGAAATGCAAATACATATGTAGGTTGTGATACGATTAATAGTCATGGGCACTTGACATGCTTTGAGAGTATGTTCACAGATGGAGAACTTATCACCCCAACAGAACCACTGAGCTGCACATGCGACACGCAATAGCGCCATACACGTGGGAGGGGTTCATTGTCAAATTTGACACTTCAAGGAAGGGTTGATGAAAACTGCCGCGTGCTGGTTTATCTATCCATGTCTGCTTTCCTTACGGTTCATGCATAAGATTCGCTGTTTAGCCTATTTTTGCTTTAGCGTGTTACGCTTAATTTGATCGGGAGACGTGTTCGTCGAAGTCAACCGACAACACTACAAGAATTGGCCATGGCACTGCAAGAGGAGTGGGTCAGATTGACCCAAATCGTGATTGTACGGTTGATTAGGAGCATGCCACGACGAATTGCTGATTGTCTGAGGATTGGTGGAGCAATTACTCATTATTAAGACAAAAATCAAAAACGTCCATTTTCACTTTTGACGGTGTATCTCTTTGCGAGTGAAATGGGGCCGTCAGATAAGCCGCCCATATGAACTGTTTATGTTCATGTGTAGGCAATTGGCCGGTTATTAACATACACTGGTTACCTCTAATAAAAACAGCAGTGCATTTCCGCAGTTTTGTATTGTTTCTGAATATCCCCTACTTTTTTTTGAAGAGTATACATAGTTAACATTTGGCACCAGTTTCAGTCATATTACTTATGAGGCAAATTAAGTGGTCAGATTAGGGGTTTGCCCCACTAAACCCAGTCAGATTTGATATTTTTAGAACAGTCTCATAATTAGCTAACATTTGGCACCAATTTCAATCTTATTATTTAACGACCAAATTAAAATCAGTCTTAGTTATCCAAATAGTATCTAATAAATTTCACAGCATCCGTTCAGTCACGAGATTAAATCTTGATGAATCAATATACAGCTAGGAGCAATGAATAGCTATTGTGCTATTGTTACCTGACTCTCGTAATATTTAGTAAAACCAATCCCTTTTTTATAGGTTTTTCCAAATGGATATAAATACCGGAATTTACTTACTGATGCGTCATCATGCCATCAATATATTAAAGGGGGAAGAGAGAGAGAGAGAAGAAAGAGAGAGAGAGAGAGAGACGGGGGGGGGGGGTAACTTCCACCCAACACAAACCAGGTCATTTCGGGGTTAGAAATGCAATGGACACCCTGGGATACTACACTTATTAAAGTTAAATCCACCAAAATAGCATTTAGATTATTTAGTTCAATTAAGAGGTATGGTCTCTAGGAAAGACAGACATTGATAACGAAGTATGTCGGTCAGACATGAACCGTTTAACTGGCTGTTC